TGTGTCTCTAGTACAGTGTATATATATATATATATATATATATATATATATATATATAAAACTGATTAATACCCTGAATGGGAAGAATTTCTAAGTAAATACTTACATACAGTTGTAAAAGAACATTATTAAAGAAATTCTGAGTGGCTCAGTTGAACTAGTGTGATTCATCAAGAAATGGTGACAATGGACAAAATCATGTATTTTCATAAGTGTCTAGCTGTAAAAATAAATGAATTAATTACGTTGTTATTATGTGTCAAAGCATAGTGGATTTAAGCAATCCCTCCTGCCTTTTTTACCAGGTTTTTGTTCTGTTCCAATATTTGATCACCTGTACATCAAGATTTGTCGAGTTATTTCATAGAACATGTACACTCTCAATCATTATAGTATGTACAGGTGTAAAGTACTTGTGTGCCCTCGTCTGTTGTTTGTGCCGGTTTTGCCGCACTTGCATTGTGTTGGACATCTTATGAAAGATACACGCATTACCCCCGTTACCCCTGTCCATATGTTGCCCTTTTTGCAGACTTCCAGCATAAGATCACTGTGCAGGCGTCGCCTTCCATGGACAAGAGACGGAGCCTCCATAGCACCAGCTCCTCTCCTCCCAGCAGTCCCACACTCATCCCCCGACTACGAGCCATTCAGCGTAAGTTCAGTGTTTTCCATTTTCAAGTTTCCCCTTAGTGTGGGGTCTGATTGTCTCCTGCACCTCTGTATCAGTACTCGCATGGCTGTGTACTGTATTTCTTGGCCTGAATTAAGTGTCAGTTTATTAAATAAATAAATCACATCATCTCTCTGAGAATTTGGGAACTGGGAACATTCACAATGACAAGAGCCGTGTGAACAAAAGCTTCAGAGCCACAAGCAGTCAGCCAGTTGTTTGAACAGTTTGATAATGTTGTTAGTCACGCACCAACGCCCGTGCAATAACGGGAACAAATTCCTCTCGAGCATTTATGGCAGATGCTGATATTCAGACAAGAGGGCGCTGATTGTGGCTCACAATCACTGTTACTGGTATAAATAGCCCTAATGTATAAATAGATTGAGATGGATCAGAATTCTGCAAAGTGGCAGAAAAAAAAATTTTTTTCTTTGTTTTTTGTATTCTTTGAGTTACAAGATTAGATTGATGCTCTTTATTGTCCAAGAGGGAGATTTGTTTTCACAATACATGAAATGCACTGTACACTTGATTAGTTTCAATATGGAGTGATTCCGTGCACAGAAGAGCAAATGTCTGCTCTATTTATGGAAAACAATTGTCATAACATTATCTTAGTGACAGTTTTATTGTCCCGGGCAAAGTTTTGTTTTCAACATACATACAGATACATCCTGTGTATACAATTTATATGTGCACGCATATGCACAAACATATACATATATTCATTCATGTCCCATGTATTCCCACATATACTTTTCAATACACATTTCATGTCAATTTTATTTATATAGTCTATAATCATTGATATATCAATATATATCTGCACAGGCTTTCAGATGTATTCATCTATACATGCAGTGCTCAACAAGGCATTTTATTTATCATTGCTATGGCAGAAGAAACAGGCCTTCTTTTTTAATGCTTGTGTATTAAATGTTCACAGCAAGTACAAGCGAGGAGCATGTCAGTAACGATACGATACGCTCATGTTGGTAAGAGGTAACATGTATGTTTCCCTCCCCAGTGACGTCCCATATGCAGAGGGACAGTTTGCATGTTTACCAACAGGATGTTGATCTGACCAGCGAGCTCACAGCCTACTGTGGGGTCAGAAAGAAAGGCAAGCTATTAGCTACCCACACGCAGCGTGGGTGTGGCTAACGGCACCACACGCTGCATGTGATGTTTGGCTAACTTTGACAGTTGAGAGGGTTTGATGCCTAACAGCTTCCCGTCAGCGGGGCTCTGTTTGCTGATTGGCTAGAGTTTCTGGATGTGTGGACAAGAATTTGATGTTTGCTGCTGGTTGAAATTGTTTCACAGGTACTCTGCCTAACCTGAAAATCAAACAAGCAAGTAAGGTTGAGGTTTGTGCCACAGACTTGGGCCAATCTGCTGTTCATGTTAGTTTTTGAACCATCTGCTGTGACGTGGCTTGAATTAAATAATTGGCCCTACTGGTAGTGCTGTTAATTAGCACATTTTCCTACTAATGGGAGTTTTGGCCCGAGTCTGTTGCCCCAACATCTTTGGTGGATCCTGTGTTCCCTCACACCTTCATAACCACTTCACAATGACTAACACACACCTATAAGAATCTTATATAATAACAACCTTTTGGGTTTTGGTTTCTGCTTTTTGGCTTTTTGATTTAAAATTTGTAGAAACGAATGTATGCTATATTGGTGATATTTTATAGTATGAAAGGGTTAAATAGTTACCCTGAATCGAACTCAGTTATTTATGTAATTAAAGGCTTATATCCATCCAGTGTAGAGTGGCCTTAAAACGCCCCAACTGGTAAAATGAGTTATGTGGTTAACTACTCTACATAGCTAGAGAGAGAGAATAGTGTGACATTCTAGAGAAAGAGATTAATAATCTTAATAACATGTCTACACCAAATTGCCAGTCAGTTGTTTGGGTCTGTGGTAACTCTTGTGGTCACTGTGTTAACAGTTACTCAAGATGAGAGCAACCGTACATGGGGCCGCAGCACCCCCTTCAGGCCAGAGGAGTTTGATGATGTGAAAAAGGGAATCAAGAAGAAAGGAAGAACCTGGGGCCCCAGTTCAGTACAGAGCAAAGAAAGGCCCGCTGCTGCTGAGAGGTAAAGTGTATACACACAAACACACACACACACAGGAAAACGCAGGCTTTTCATTTTTCAATCACACTATCTAACTGGCCACTATTTGGTTCCTGTTCCTAAACAGCATAATCACATCCTCATGTTCAAGTGGTAATGTATTTGTGACACATCTATATGCTTTATACAGTAATAAACAACAGCAACAATATGCCACAAGAATATTACACACTTTAGAGAAATAGACAGTTTTCTGTTTGCATGCCAGAAGATAAAACTGATTCTTTTTCAACAATTGCGAACAATCTCACAGCTGCTGCTGAAATCATTAAAAAATCTGTTAAAAAGTTAAAAAGATGCTGACATTTGAAATTCTCTCTTAGCTTTGTTAGCAGTTATTTTGTCGCATGGTAACACGTGGTAGGCATTAGTAGCTCATCTGCCTCACTGCCTGTCTAAATCCACTCAGCTAACAGCATCATCTTGAGTGTGTGTGTGTGGCCAGATGGAAACACATACTGACATATACTGAGATTGGACAGTGAAAAGGCAGTTTATTAAATTAGATTTGCCTTGAGTATTTAGGATTGTTCTCTGATCAGGACATTGAAAGGACACTGTCACAACTAAATGTCTAAAGTCTTTACCTTCAAACATTCCTTTGAAGTACATTCAAAAACTGAATTTGGTCCTCACAAAAATAGCAATATAAGCCCACAGACATTCAGTCTATTTTATGTTTTCTTGTCTGTGGTTTACAGAGTGCGCCCTCTTTCCGACGGCAGTAATCCCTGGTCCACCAGCTTGGTCAAGTCCCAGAAGTCTGTCCCCCTCGCTGCCCTGTTTGCTGAACAAGGTGAGCTGATAATCCACTGTGAAGCTGTATGTTTTTGAAATGTAAATAAAGAGCTTTGTGTTTGTTTAAATTATTGTGGAAATTTGCTCAGCACTGGCCGTGGTTTGTTGACATTTTGTCTACAGTGACTAACTAGTGTGTGATATAACTCAAATTTCATATCCCAATAACGATATATAACAAGATATAGCTCATTTTAAATAGTTTATATAAAATAACCACATGGAAATATTTTGAATTACATACTCAGAAAATAAAAGGTGGTTTCTCATATTTGATTATTTTGTTCCTTTTATGTCAGCGGGGGCCGGTAAAGACGAGGCATTCTCCCCGGAATGTCCTGACAGCAGCTCCAAGCCAAAGCAGCTCAAGTTCCCCAACCAGGTGTACATCGATCTACCTCTGTGGAGGGACGAGCAGCAGCCTCAGAGCCCCGGTGGCCATTGTGGGCCGGGGGATGCCGGAGTCGGGGCAGGAGGTAAGGGCGGCCCACCAGAGACCCCAGACGACCCCTACACCACCACATCCACCTCGTCCACCTCCACCACCCCACAGCTCACCCCCACCAACAGCCTGAAGCGGACGTCGGCTCGCCGCAAGACCGACTCCGTGCTGTACGGCTGCGGCTCGTTGCTGGCTTCAGTCGTGCTCGGTTACGACATCATGGAGGCTCTCAAAAACTCTGCCCCTGGGGAAGATTGCGAGCCCCAGCGTGAGGAGAAGGAGAAGGAGAAGAAGAAGAAGGAGGGCCTGTTTCAGCGCGCAACCCGGTTCCGCCGCAGCACCTCGCCGCCGAGCGGTCGCCCCCGCAAAGACGAGGCATCGTCGAACCACACCTCCACCCAACCTGTCAATCTCATCTCCATGTCAGCCATTGTGGAATGCAACTCCACAAAGTGTCTCTTACAGTCTGAGGCGGAGGTGTCTGAGTCCAGCCCTGGGAAGGTTGGGCTTGTAGCTGTCAATCATCACGCAGAGCCAAACAGACCGGGCCCGGCCGCATCTACGGACATCCAGAGTAACAGGACCGCAGCTACAACACAGACACCAGTGCAAACCCAAAGCCAGCCACCAGAGCAGAGCAACCACAACACAGGAACACGTCTACGCAGAAAGAAATACTCCACCAACCACAATAGTGAGTAACACACACGCACACAC